GTCGGTCAGTCAGTCCGGTCTAGGTCGGTCTAGGCTAGTGGTAGAGTATAGATAGGATGGGGACATCGGTCCTGGGCTTTTGGCAGTTGACACTTTGTGGTGGAAGTTGCTGCGCACACGGTATCAGGTCGTGGTTGCTGATTCCCGTGGTGGAGACGGCGGACATAGCCAGACCTTCGGAGCGTTGACCAGATTGGGGTCAACGCTGTCCGCTCTGACTCTCTGGGAGTCAAAGCGGTCTGGGCTATCTGAGGTCTGATGCGTTGGAGCACGTGGTGCACTGCTGACCCTCCTCAGGAGTAGGGTCCCAGTGGCGATGCAGCCATAGCTGCATCTTCTCAGAGATTATCAACGTCTGGACTTCATCTTCATCAGGGACTGTTGGCGCTGAGCTTCTTCTTCATCATCTGGACAACAATTGGCTCTGGGAGCCTGTTTCACTTTGGCGCAAGCCACTGAGTTGGATGTCAGGGTGGCGCTGGGTGTTACCTGGGGTTTCGGTGCTATTTTTAGCTGTTCAGGGTGTTGGGGTTGAGGCGCTACCTCTCTGAGGGTAGCGCAACAGGGTTCTGAGGTTATTCAGGGAGAACGATGCTCTGAGTTTAATAAAGAGTTGTAATACTGTGTTTGAGTTGTCATCTCTTCATTGATTTCTGGCTGTGATCACTCGGTTGTCTTCTATGAATGATTGTTGGGATCTGCGTGGAGAGAATTCACAGGTTGTGTGTTCTGTCACTTCACTCCTCTGAGTCTTCCGCTGCGTTTCTTCCTGTTGGGCGGTGTGATACTCCACTACCTCTCCCCCTCCTTCTGTGCATGTATGGGTGTGTACGGGAGTTCTTGTGAGTGAGTGTTGATAAAATTTCAACAGACAATCATGTTCATAACAGTTGGTATCGGAGCAGATTGGACCCAAACAGTGGGGAGATGATGGACTGAGGCAGCCATCACTATATGAGAGCTTCTGACGTCAGGTTTCATGGAGAAATCGCATCTTCAGGATTGCGCTCAGTAGGGTGTTGGTGAAGAGTGTGTCGCGGCTGGTATGACATAGAGATTGGTGGCGATTCACTGCTCGGTGGCCTGGGAGGCACTGAGGGGCTATTTTTAGCCCAGGGGTTGACTCTGTTGGTGGCGAGATACCTGGGGGTATGTCGAGTTGCAAATTCTGGACTAGGTCCAGTGAATCTGACTAGTGGGGATTGATCGCCATATCAAGAGCTTCAGTATCACCAAGTTTCAGAAGATTTGGAACGTGGGAGTACCAGGAACAGCGAATTGAAGAAACTGGCGAGATGGCAGCCATAGCCAGTTCAACTTCTTCTTCCTGTGTTTTGCCCTGAAGTAAGTGTGTTCCTTACTCAAGTCTCTGTGGCGAGTCTAATAGTTGTAATTAGACTGAGAAAAATTGAAATTCTATCTTTGTTGACAGTAAAAGTTGAAAATCGTACTGCCTGACAGCCATATCTATTTCTCCTACCTATCTACTTCTATTGACACTGTTTGACCCCCTCTCTGTCTCAAATTGCATCTTAGACTGTATTACGATATTGCAATTCAGTATGTACTGTGAATTGAGTAGTTCAGGGTCTGGATGTCAGTGATAATGGAATTCTGAGTATTGCGCTCCCATAGTCAGTGCTTGGGGCAGCTAGGGTTTGTCCTATCTTAGGTTCTGTCCGTCAGAATTTCAGTCTGTCAATCACCCTGAAATCGCAATTCAGTATTGTGTCAGTGTCTGAAAGCGCTATACTGGATTTGATGTTTTGAGTCAGGTACAGTCATATATGTACTTCGCCTCACCCATAGTGGGGCATACAGGGTCCTACAATGCCAGTGTCAGTAACAGGAGTCTAAAAATAGCTTGATCAGTCATCCGCTGCATCTTGGTTGGGGATTGCTACTGACTTTCTGTGCTATTCCATCCTGTCCACTTACAGTCCAAGGTTGCATCCTGTCTAATTTCCTGACAGCGATTATGGGGTTGTCGTACTCAGATGAGGGTTCTGGGCTGTGAATGAAAAATCGCAAGTCTGATTTTATCTGGGATTGCCCTAAACTGACCCAGAACAGCCCTCAGCAACCTACAAAGGTTGAGCGCTCTTCTGCCTTATACACCACGTCTCTTCTCATCAGGGGGCAGTGATTACATCAGTGTGTGTGTGTAATCCTAATCGCTGCTGACCTTGTATCTGTCTGTATTTATTTATTTGACTGTGTGAGTGGTTCATTATGGCTGATGCTGAGACAAAGACGAAGGGAGGAGAAACTTCCACTAACCTTCCTCAGCTTCCTCTCTCTCCTCTGGAGCAGGCACAGACCCAGATCCAGCGGTTGAAGCAGGAGATGGCGAAAGCTCAGGAGGCTAGCAGGAATGAAGAGAGAAGAAGACAACTACGCAAGGAGGTTGAAAAGGTTGTTACCAGTGGTACATCCAGTCAGTACAGTAAGGACACTGCTGAATTGGTGCTCTTAACAGACACCATCAACATGTCCTACTTTTCTAACTGGGACCAGAGGATACTCGCCCTCGAGACCCAAGGTTCTGCCATAGACCGCAAGGTTGATAAGCTGGCAGCAAGCCTTGAGTCTCTGACGACGAGTGTCAACAGCATCCTGCAGCATCTACAGCTACCAGTCCCTTCTCCCAAACCTCCTCAACCTTCCCCAACAT